GCGTGAGAAGTACAGGGGGGGGGGGGAAGCTTTAAAGAGACCCTGTCTTAGATTTATCCTCATTTGTTTTTTTTGGTTCATAGAATTGGAATTTTCCCCATTATCACCAGGCCTCACTCTACTGCTGTGCTATGCATAGCTCAATGCTATATACTTAGGAGCTGGTACAAGGTCAGCAGCTTCCAGAGCTCCATGGAAGAAGAAGCCGACCATGACAAGGACACATGAATCATATAGACAGACGGCCATTCAGAGACGCAGATGAAGTGATAACTTTGGTTCAAGAGCAACGGCCTGAAGAAAGCAGCGACCTCCACAGCAGGGCTACACCGGCACTGCAAGGGTTAAGTGCTTGTTTGTGTCTAGGGAAGAAAATACGTTTTCCACACCTGATCCTCTGTGCCGGCTTGGTCCTAGACAGGTCCACGGAGCCTCGCTCCCCCGCTCCGTCCCTTGCTGGCTTGGTCCTAGACAGGTCCATGGCGCCTCGCTCCCCCGCTCCGTCCCTTGCTGGCTTGGGCCTAGACAGGTCCATGGCGCCTCGCTCCCCCGCTCCGTCCCTTGCTGGCTTGGGCCTAGACAGGTCCATGGCGCCTCGCTCCCCCGCTCCGTCCCTTGCTGGCTTGGGCCTAGACAGGTCCATGGCGCCTCGCTCCCCCGCTCCGTCCCTTGCTGGCTTGGGCCTAGACAGGTCCATGGCGCCTCGCTCCCCCGCTCCGTCCCTTGCTGGCTTGGGCCTAGACAGGTCCATGGCGCCTCGCTCCCCCGCTCCGTCCCTTGCTGGCTTGGGCCTAGACAGGTCCATGGCGCCTCGCTCCCCCGCTCCGTCCCTTGCTGGCTTGGGCCTAGACAGGTCCATGGCGCCTCGCTCCCCCGCTCCGTCCCTTGCTGGCTTGGGCCTAGACAGGTCCATGGCGCCTCGCTCCCCCGCTCCGTCCCTTGCTGGCTTGGGCCTAGACAGGTCCATGGCGCCTCGCTCCCCCGCTCCGTCCCTTGCTGGCTTGGGCCTAGACAGGTCCATGGCGCCTCGCTCCCCCGCTCCGTCCCTTGCTGGCTTGGGCCTAGACAGGTCCATGGCGCCTCGCTCCCCCGCTCCGTCCCTTGCTGGCTTGGGCCTAGACAGGTCCATGGCGCCTCGCTCCCCCGCTCCGTCCCTTGCTGGCTTGGGCCTAGACAGGTCCATGGCGCCTCGCTCCCCCGCTCCGTCCCTTGCTGGCTTGGGCCTAGACAGGTCCATGGCGCCTCGCTCCCCCGCTCCGTCCCTTGCTGGCTTGGGCCTAGACAGGTCCATGGCGCCTCGCTCCCCCGCTCCGTCCCTTGCTGGCTTGGGCCTAGACAGGTCCATGGCGCCTCGCTCCCCCGCTCCGTCCCTTGCTGGCTTGGGCCTAGACAGGTCCATGGCGCCTCGCTCCCCCGCTCCGTCCCTTGCTGGCTTGGGCCTAGACAGGTCCATGGCGCCTCGCTCCCCCGCTCCGTCCCTTGCTGGCTTGGGCCTAGACAGGTCCATGGCGCCTCGCTCCCCCGCTCCGTCCCTTGCTGGCTTGGGCCTAGACAGGTCCATGGCGCCTCGCTCCCCCGCTCCGTCCCTTGCTGGCTTGGGCCTAGACAGGTCCATGGCGCCTCGCTCCCCCGCTCCGTCCCTTGCTGGCTTGGGCCTAGACAGGTCCATGGCGCCTCGCTCCCCCGCTCCGTCCCTTGCTGGCTTGGGCCTAGACAGGTCCATGGCGCCTCGCTCCCCCGCTCCGTCCCTTGCTGGCTTGGGCCTAGACAGGTCCATGGCGCCTCGCTCCCCCGCTCCGTCCCTTGCTGGCTTGGGCCTAGACAGGTCCATGGCGCCTCGCTCCCCCGCTCCGTCCCTTGCTGGCTTGGGCCTAGACAGGTCCATGGCGCCTCGCTCCCCCGCTCCGTCCCTTGCTGGCTTGGGCCTAGACAGGTCCATGGCGCCTCGCTCCCCCGCTCCGTCCCGTGCTGGCTTGGTCCCAGACAGGTCCATGGAGCCTCGCTCCCCCGCTCCGTCCCGTGAATCATGTTCTATACACAGTAAGGGACATTCCATTGCTGCAGCATAGGATGAAATAGGGAGTGCTGCTTTAGATGTCTGAATTCGCCTTGATATGAGCCTCTTTTAATCCTCTGTACAGCAGCACTCGGTCTAGAAGAAGGAATGGTGGCACCAAGGGCCAATGACGTGTTCTGTATGCAAAGGTACTGAGTAGGCACATGCTAACAGGAGGAGAGAGCAGGGAGTTGGCCTTATGAGATGGTTTCTGCTAACTCACTGTCCAATCATGAGGGCGGAGAGGTGACCTAGCTCTACTCTATCGGTACGCACGTCAGGCGTGCACACCCAGCAATCTGTGCACGCCGCACACAATCTTTCTCCCCGCGGCTGCCTCGGGGAATCTTCCTGAAACCTCATCGGATCCGTCTGATTGAAGAAGCTTTCAGCTTCTGGAATCTCAGAAACGGTGGCGGGTCGGAGCGGTGCCAGGACGATGGCGCGAGACTCTTGCCAGCTCTTCATATTGAGGCCTATGCATTTCGAACGATGTGTTTGCTTTCTCTGACAGCGCTATAACTCTGGAGGTTCCCAGCCCTGCGTCCTGCTAACAGATTTATACCGCCGTCACCCTGCGTGAACACGTGAGCAGATGCAGAACACAAACAACGCTGCCAGGGGGTGCGTGATGGCGGACAACGTCTGACCTTCTCCATGTCTACCGCCGGCCAGGAAATGGCGCAGCTGCTCGATGTTCAGAAAGTCCGCCCCGCAGCTAACAAAGTGGACCTGTCAAATATATTTTAGGTGCAGCATGCTCAGTAGTGTGTCGTCGTAACCCCTTCCAGGCAGCAGTGTCACCGCGTCCGCCAGATGCCACCCAGGGCACGCGTCATTACGTTACACGTGACATCACTAGGCACGCGCCGAGGATCAGGTGAGGAGATCTGCTTTATTTGAGCCCCCCCTAGACAAAACAAGCACCTAGCATGTGTAGTGCGGGGAGTAGCCCCACTGCAGGGGCACATTTTTTTAAATCCTAGAGTTCTTCTTTAAGACATAGGAAGGAGGTTGTTCTGTAGCCCACAGAGGTGACGCCGATAAGACACCTTGGGATTTCAGTGCAACAGGAGCACTGTTGCTGTCAGGTCTCTGCAGGAAGTTATCAGCTTACTAGATTTCTGGCAGGATCAACAGGTATTTTTTTGCACTTATAATAAATATCTAGATATCACACACACAAACACGCACATTATGTTATATATGGTATATGTAACAGGGAACCAATAGGAGAAGCTCATAGTTGGGGTTTAAAAAAATATTATTAAAATATGTATTAATTTATGACAGGTGTACTTTTCACACAACGCTGTACATAGTTGCACAATCACGTCAGCCCCTGCCCTCAAGGAGCTTACAATCTAAGGTCCTTATTAGGGATGCACCTGTCATATCGAGGACCAGTACCCATATTTATATTTCGGTACTGGCGATACAGAGTACCGATACTGGTACTTCCGCTAGCATGGAGCCGGCTTCCCGGGCAATCAGGAAACCAGGCAGCCTGTCATTACCTGCCGACCGGCTTCCTGATTGGCCGGGAAGCCGGCTCCATGCTGTTTGGCTGGCTCCATGCTGTTGGCCAGGAAGCCGTCTTCTCAGCCAATCAGCATTGAACCGGCTTCCCCGCCACCCGGCTTCCTCATTGGTCTGGGAAGCCAATACCTTCCCCAATACCAGAACTTCCGGTCATTGGCTTCCAAGCCAATCAGCATCAAGCCGGCTTCCCCGACACCCGGCTTCCCGATTGGTCTGGGAAGCCAGCTCCATGCTCCGATATGCTTCCCCAATACCGGAACTTCCGGTCATTGGCTTCCCAGCCCATCAGCATCGAGATGGCTTCTCCGCCGCCCTGATTGGCCGGGTAGCCGTCTCCATGCTGTTTGGCAGGCTCGATGCTGATTGGCTGGGAAGCCAATGACCGTATTTTCTGGTATCGGAGCATTTGGGCGAGCACTCGAGCCCAAACACTCGGTATCAGCACCGATACTAGTATCGGCGCATCCCTAGTCCCTATCTCACATGCATACATACCTGTGCAATAAGTCCATCCGTGACATTTCCTGGCTACTAAATATAGTTGGGCTTGGCCCCTTAGTCCCAGTGAAGGGAACTCTTAAGACATCAGCACACCAAGACATTTCTGACAATTTCATGCTCCCAACTTTGTGGGAGGAGTTTTGGGGACGGCCCCTTCCTGTTCCAACATGACTGCGCACCAGTGCACAAAGCAAGGTCCATAAAGACATGGATGGGGGAGTTTGGGGTGGAGGAACTTGACTGGCCGCACAGAGTCCTGACCTCAACCCCATAGAACACCTTTGGGATGAATTAGAGCGGAGACTGCAAGCCCGGCCTTCTCCTCCAACATCAGTACCTGACCACACAAATGGTCCAACATCCCCATAGACACACTCCTAAACCTTGTGGACGCCTTCCCAGAAGAGTTGAAGCTGTTATAGCGGCAAATGGCGGAGCCAACCCAATACTGAACCCTGCGGACTAAAACTGGGATGCCATTAAAGTTCATGTGCATGTAAAGGCCGCAGGCGTCCCAATACTTCTGGCAATATAGTGTATATTGATTATTGCCATTACCAATATTACTCCATACACTTACCACGATACAATACATTTTGCTGTAGTGGGCCTTTAAGAAACACAGTGGTGTCGCCTCCCCACCCCCACTCTGCTGATTGGGCAATGAAGAGGCACCCACACACTCATAGGCCAGTAGCTCTGCTCTCTATTCCTGCTGGCATGTCCCCTGTCAGCACTTGTGCATGCAACCTAATCTGATTGGCTTTTAGCTTTGCTCCTCCCAGACCGAGTGCTGCTGTGCTGGGGATGTCAAGAAGCTAACATGAAGACAGATTGAGGTAATTATGTTGTTTTGTGTCAAAAAATTATTTTAAAAGGAATATACAACTGATTTACATGCAATCGTTTTACATCTGCCGGGAGATTTAAGGTCCTAGTTTACGGTAGCTTTCAAGTTTGTTATGAAAGGAAACCTGACTGCAGTACCCCCGTCCTCTGAATGTGGTCCATGAAGGACATGTGCTGCACAACTGTGCTTTGATCATTCCCTGCAGACGCATGGAGCCCATCTGAGCTCATCACGACAAATCGCATCGCCAGCTGCTTGCAGGAGTCCTTCTGAAGATCTTATGGAGGTATGGAGCCCAGGAGCACCCCGGGGTGAGGTCGCACCTTTCATCCACGTGAATTGCTGCCTGTCACGCCCGCTTAATTCTATTAACATTTTGCTGCTTGACTAGTTCATGGAACGTTGAATAATGGTTAACATGGCACCAACATATTAAGGAGAGAGGTACAGGTAAACACAACCTATGCTTTCATTCTCCAAACGAGTGCAATTCTTTAAAGGGGACTTGAACTTCAAAACAGGCAGAGAGAGGACTGGTCATCAGTATTGTCTGTGGTCTCCCTGCAGGTAATCTTTCCCCATCATGGACTTACCATGCCTTGTCTTTCTGCATGGAGGCGGCCATCTTTGCATGTGCTTCCTCATGTTAGAGGCTCCAGCAAAGCAGAACTGTGAGCAGTACAGTAGTGACATCACCGAACCTCACTCCAAATATTTTGTTGCATTTCAGTGTTGCTAATTTCCGGCTGCATCTTTGTGGCCACTTCCTGTCTCCGCGCACTCCAGGAAATGGCTGCATGGCACTTCTCAGGCTGTGTTTTCTAATGACTACTTGTAGTCTCCATCAGAAGCCCGTGCGACAGGGTGACAACTCGGGAGCACAATTGGCAGACACAGCGTTGTCACCCTATAAATGGAAATTCCTGAACAAGGACCTTTATGGCGGGATCAAAACTCCAAGCACAAAAACGTTTCCTTAAATATATTTCTCAATCACCTCAAAGGATATAAATCCACTTTATGTCCACCAAATGCCTTTGCTTACCCAGATGTTACCTTGCACAAGTGGCAGTGGCATCATCAATGTAATGTGCATAGCCTATGCAGAGAACAGGGCTGTGGGAGAAGCCCACCCACTACAGAAAACTACAGGATGGGACAGAGACAAGACCAGTCGCCCTGCACAAGGAGAGAGAGCAGCAGTAAGCCGTCTTTATTACAGGAGGGGCGGAGACAAGACCAGTCACCCTGCACAAGGAGAGAGAACGGCAGTGACCGGTCTTTATTACAGGAGGGGGCGGAGACAAGACCAGTCACCTTGCACAAGGAGAGAGAGCAACAGTGAGCGGTCTTTATTACAGGAGGGGGCGGAGACAAGACCAAGCACCCTGCACAGGGAAAGAGAGCAGCAGTGACCTGTCTTTATTACAGGAGGGGGCGGAGACAAGGCCAGTCACCCTGCACAAAGAGAGAGAGCAGCAGTGAGTGGTCTTTATTACAGGAGGGGGCAGAGACAAGACCAGTCACCCTGCACAAGGAAAGAGAGCAGCAGTGAGCTGTCTTTATTACAGGAGGGGGCGGAGACAAGACCATTCACCTTGCACAAGGAGAGAGAGCAACAGTGAGCGGTCTTTATTACAGGAGGGGGCGGAGACAAGACCATTCACCTTGCACAAGGAGAGAGAGCAACAGTGAGCGGTCTTTATTACAGGAGGGGGCGGAGACAAGACCATTCACCTTGCACAAGGAGAGAGAGCAACAGTGAGCGGTCTTTATTACAGGAGGGGGCGGAGACAAGACCAGTCACCCTTACAATGGATTACTGCACAGATTTGGAAGAAATAAACAAAGCTCACCAAGGTTCCAGAAGAATACACAGGACTCCCAGAGACCAGCTACAAATGTGAGATTTTAGTGATTGGGTTTACATCTACTTTTCCTGCTTTGATAATTAACATTACAGTGACAAAATCAGCTTCCAACATGTCTTCCCCGAGAAAGAGGCCGTAAAAGATCTCCTGAAGTATTCAGCTGCAAAATTGCACAAGGAAATGAAGTCTTCATCAACCGGAGACCAGCCGGGGCTTCACTCAGCTCAAATCCTTAAACCAGCTGTGACTGTGAAGGAGAGAGAGGGGCACACGAGGGTAATCATGAAAATGACGTCAAAGGACGATTACCCCCATTAGATTTCATACTCTCTACATTTCTTTGGTGACAGGCCAGGCTCTCCATTAAAAGTGACAGACTATAAGGCGCCATTCACACTTCAAATGCGACCAGATCACATGACTCTCACAAATTCCTCCATTAAATTCATGCGATCAGCTGCGGACGAGAGGCGTTGTGCTATACAATGACTGCTGCCACCACCCGCAGCCGTATAAAGGGAGGGATCCCTGTCAGGTTTTTTCAGTGTCCCCATTGTGACTGTTGTTAGTGGGACACAAAGTGATTTAAAATCCGAAATGTAATGGCCGTCACTGAAATGGGAAATCTTCCAATGGGAATACTTGTTCCAATGACAGTTGTCTAAGGGATGATTTCCCCTCAATTTGGATAGATCTGGTCTTGGTGGCAGGAAGTAAAGGGAAATCTACCCAGCAGGACACATACACCAAAAAACTCCACTCTAGCACAATACTTGCCTTATTCCTCGCTCCGGTAGCCTTCCCTAATGCGGTGCGAATGGTCCCCCGAAGCCACCGCTCTTCAGCACTCCGGCAGGCAGTCGCTCTCTGACGTCATCACATCTAATGTTGGACCAATAGTCCTGCATTGTACATGAGGGAGACGAGGGCCCGTCTAGTCTGGCAGGTCAGAACCTGCAGGAGCAAGGAACAGGGTTGCCACCCGTCCTGGATTCACCTTTGCAGTCCAGGTTTTGAGTCCTGTGTGTGCTGTGTCTGGGTTCCAGGCCAGCTGAATTCTGGACACAAGATATCACAATGTCAGGGTCAACCACGGGCTCCTGGAGTTCAAACTTGCGTTCACGGAGGTTGCACGGGACACTGGAACTCGGGGAGCAAGGAGGTGTCTGAAACACAGGGTGCAGTCTTGGAGGGCACAGGGGTTCTGCTTCAGGCAAATGTTTTGCTCGCTATCTTTCCTCACTCTCTCTCTCCTGGCTGTCTCTCCTTGCTCATCCACCTGACTGTCTCTCTTGGCTCTCTCCCCTGGCTGCCTCTCCTCACTCTCTCAAGGCTGTCTCTCCTCACAAGGCTGTCTCTCCTCACTCTCTCCAGGCTGTCTCTCATCACTCTCTCCAGGCTGTCTCTCCTCACAAGGCTGTCTCTCCTCACTCTCTCCAGGCTGTCTCTCCTCACTCTCTCCAGGCTGTCTCTCCTCACACTCTCCTCTCTCTTCCCTCTCTCCCGCACTGTCTCTCCACACTCTCTCCAGGCTGTCTCTCCTCACTCTCTCCAGGCTGTCTCTCCTCACTCTCTCCTGGCTGTCTCTCCTCACTCTCTCCTGGC